AGCCCCGCAAGCCCCTGCCCAGCAAACCCAGTAGCACCCAGTAAAGCCCAATCCTGGACCCCATCACGCCTTGGCACACCCCAAAAACACTGATCCAGGCAGAGAATATCTTCTCCCTCTGCCTTGCGTTGACGCTGGGTGTCCAGCGCAGCCCCGGGGTGGTGGACTCAAAGCCAAACCCACACGAATAATGAGATTTTTTTCCTTTTTTTTTTTTTTTTTTAAAATATATAATCCCCATTGTTCTTTAAGCCGCGGTGGGGCTTAGGCTGGCGTGATGCCGCGGGCTGGCGCGGGAACGGCCTGGCAGCTCACCCCCTCATTTCCACGGAGGAGAAAGCGAGCGAAGCCATTTGGTTTGAATTAAAATCGCAGGAGTAAGGAAGGAGAGGGTGAAAGCAGCCGTGCACACGCGAAGGCCCCCCCGCGGCGGCAGCACTGGTTGCCTGGGGAGGGACCCACCATGCCCGGAAAAAGGATTCTGGGAGGGCCAGTGGGTGCCGTAACGGAGGAGCTGAGCATCTTCCAGGCACCGAAAGCATCTTTCCTCCTCGTTAATTAATCCCGCTGTTGGGTTGTCCCAGCTTTCCAGGCTGGGCTGCAGCGTGCCAGCTCGGAGCTCTCCTCCTGGGGCATGGGAATGCTGTTCGGTCCCCTCTGCATGTCCCTGCTTGTCACCTGCATCACTTCGGGGGGACATCTCAGTGTCACCGCTTACCGCCCGTCCCTGCTGTGCCAGGCGCCCAGCGGGCACCGGCTCGGGGGAACCTTTGCCCGCGGGGGATCACAATGGGGAAAGCAACCAAGCAACGTGCCCCAAAGCCGCCCTGAGAGGGGACAACGGGCAAGGAAAAACCTTGGGAAAAATCGCCACGGGGCTGGCGAAGGGCTGGGTGCTGCTGCCTTCTGCGTGGGTGACCAAGGGTGCTCCGTCAAGTCTCTCTGGACCCAGGGTGCCCGTGATGGGTGTGGAGACAACCACGGCTTTCTTGCAAAGAAACCAAGGGGAAAAGCAACCCCGCGTGGCCAGCACAAGGAGAAATAACCCAAATCCCACGTCCTGCAGTGGCCGAGGGCTGGGAAGCACGGGCGAGCTCCCCCCTTTGCACCTGCGGCTAGTTGCAAAGCCTGCAGAATTCCCCACATTCCCATAAATCACTTCCAATAACCGGGATCCCTGCAGCTCTCCCCTGCCCAGCCATGGTACCGCAGCCACCAACCCACGAGCAACCGAGGCCGCTCCCGAGCATCCCGCAGCCAAAACCACACCGGGAAGCTTCCAAGCAGCATCACCTCCAGCCTTGGGCTGCTCTGTGCACGCACGTGCACACGTGCTGGCAGCTCACCCGCCTCCCAAAGCTTCTGCCTCCCACTTTCCGCTTGCTGGGTTGGCAGGATGGACTAATCCTGCTGCAAGGCAGAGGCACGGACGTGGCCCCGCGCAGCAGGCAAAGCCGCGGGCCAGAGCTGCAGGTGCAGGGCTGAGCCAGAGGAGCAGAACGTGGGCGTTGTGGGCCCGTAACGCCCTCCTTGCTTTCTGTTCTGTGCATGAACTCAAGAGCTGGGGGCCGGTGGAGCGGCTGGGAGCCTGGAGCACACGCATCCATGCACGCACACAGCTCACGTGTGCGCACACACGCTCACGCGCGCACGCAGGCATGCGCGCAGCACGGGTATTTATGCACGCACGCACATGCATGCCTGCACACAGCAGCCACGCATGCACACAGCGAACACAAGCGTGCATGCACACGTGCACGCAGCACAGATGCAGGCACACGCATGCACGCACACGGCACACAAGCGTGCATGCACACAGCACAGATGCAGGCACACGCATGCACACAGCGAACACAAGCATGCACGCACACGTGCACGCAGCACAGATGCAGGCACACACACGGCACACAAGTGTGCATGCACACATGCACACAGCACAGATGCAGGCACACGCATGCACACACACAGCACACAAGCATGCATGCACACGTGCACACAGTACAGATGCAGGCACACGCATGCACGCACACGGCACACAAGCGTGCATGCACACGTACACACAGCACACATGCAGGCACACACACGGCACACAAGTGTGCATGCACACATGTACACAGCACAGATGCAGGCACATGCATGCACACAGCGAACACAAGCGTGCACGCACACGGGCACACAGTACAGATGCAGGCACACGCATGCACGCACATGGCACACAAGCGTGCATGCACACCTGCACACAGCACAGATGCAGGCACACGCATGCACATGGCACACACACGCACACGAGCATCTATGCACACAGTGTGCACACACCCGAATGCACACAGCACATACGGACACACGTGCGCACACACAGTGCAGGCACACAAATGCACACAGCACACGGCGTGCACATGCGAATGCACACCACACACGCATGCGTGCACTCACACAAACGCACCCAGCGCAGACACACAAGACAATCGCACACGTGCGCCCAGCACAGATGCACGCACACATGCATGCACACGTGCGCCCAGCACAGATGCACACACACATGCATGCACATGTGTACCCAGCAGAGATGCACACACACACGCATGCACACATGCAGCCAGCACAGATGTGCACCCAGGCACACACGTGCACAGACATGCTCTCTGCTATGGGCACCCCAAATGCCGCAGCCCGAGGCCTGGCAGCGCAGGGGGTGAGCTAATGGCCCCCAAAGAGCTCCACGAGCAGCTGCTCCCTCCCGCTATTTATTTTGGGGACATGCCACCTTCCTGGCTGCTGTCCCCACCCCTGCTGCAAGGGGAAAAGGTTTGCAAGAACCCCACGGTCCTACCCCCAAACCCCTTCCAGGCAGAGCAGCGCCAGCCCCGTGCAAGGTCACGCCTTGCACGTGTGCCCGCGCGTGTGAAAGGTGCTAAAAAGCTAACGGGCATGGAAAGAAGGCAGCAAGAGAGAGCCCTCGGGGACGG